TGACCTGTAGTGAGATGCCCTTTGCTCTCAGTGCCTCAGTGTACACAGGCCGTGAAGGTTCTCCTTTGTGGAGCACCCACAGGACCTTCTGTGCCTCAGAATCACCAGCCCAGAGCTTGGCAAGGTATATACAAATCTAATAGCATTTCTGAGTGCCTACTCTATGTCTGGCCTCTTCCAGCCACCAGGATGTATGGGGTACCTGCTCTCTGATCTGCAGAAGCCTAGAGCTACAGCAAAAGCCCAAGAGATGGAATGGGATACATTGTTTTGGACCTGACAGAGCCTAAGTTCTGGGTCAGGGCCCTTGTCTTTCTGGTCTGCACTTCTGAGCTAAGAATATGGTCTTCCAGGAACTGACTGTTGGTGCAGTAGGTTAGGAGTGAGAAACACTCGGGAGCAATATGAAGAGATGCTCTTCAAAGGCAGAATTTGCCCTTAGTCCAGATCCCAGGTAGTAGGAGGTAAACATCAGAGTCAACCCCCGCCCCACCCCACACACAATGCAGTGGACCCCAGAACATCTGTAGACTCTTCTGCCACACCTCAGCCCTGGTGATTATCTCCCTGTATTGTACCCTTATTCTGTCATAGGGAAGAGAAGATCACTTGGGGCACCACTTTCCTACCAAGAATGCTGGGTGATATTGGTATAGGCTCCCAGAAGCTGAGGGGAAGCAGTGTCCTCTTGGGGACAGCTGACTATTGGGGCTTCTGAGCATGAGACCCAGGAGAGAACTCATCCCAAAGGCATTCCCAGACCTGATCCTCTAAGCTTTTCTGATGATCATTTTAGGAGGGATCAAAGTTTGAGGAGAAGCATCATCACCTAGTGAGACTTGGTGGTCAGGGCGCACACTGGGGGAGAGGGGGAGAGGGGTTGAGTGGCCATAGCCAAGCTTGGCCCATCGTTTCCAAGTTTTTGGATGGTTCCAGAGAAATCAAAATTCATACTCTTGAAATCTGGATTCTCTAGATTTTGTGTGTTTCAATTTTCTAAACCCATAAAATAGGCCAAGGCAGACAGCCTTGCAGTCAGGTTTTTGTCCTGCAGGAAAGCCACCTAGGGTTCTGTTAGAGACACAAAGACTGTGGCATCTTGGGAGGCGAGTCCCAGGGTCATCTACCTTGGCCTCCCAGAGGCTGTGCCATAGTGGCACTCACTGATGGACCACAAGAGTTAGTGTCCAAAAAGGGCTCAGTGAGCTACAATGACATTCACCATAAGTGACTAGAAAAGTACCACAAAAAGGACAGCGGTTGTGGCTTTTGCTGCTTGTGAGAGACAGAGAAGGGCTACTTTGAAAATTCTGCTTGCATCAAGGGTCAGGAGAAGGACCCAAATCACATGAAGCTCATCCCAGGTGAAGGGAACAGGTCCTAAAAAAGAGGGAAAGAGGAAAATGGAGAATGATTGAAGACCATGAACCTACAGATGAGGGGCATCTGCTCTTTGGGCTCAGAGATTGGAACAAGGGCCAGCGACAGTGTAGGGAGGAGCATCCCAGATCTGGTGGAGATGGTCCTTTCTCCCATCAGTGTCCTGGAATTGAAGCCCTGCAATTAAAGACGAAATACTTTAACTGGAATCATGCAGCCAACTAGCAGTACAGGCAGAAAACACACTGGTCTAGGTGAACCCAGATGCCTTGTCTTATCTGTCAATGGAAGACCTTCCCCCAGCACCCTGCTGGATTTCAAGAAGGCTTCTGCTTCTGCCCCACCCTAGAATGTAGCACACACTGGCATTCACTGCTGAAAAGAGAGGCTTTGTGTAAGGAGTGGTGGGAGTTCAGCACCCGTTTCTTAAGAGCCCTTTGTTCTGAGGAGGGGTGATGAGAAGCTTTGAGTCCACTTACACAGGAGCCTTGTCATGGCGTCAGACTAACTTAGTAGCGATCATGGTTGAGGAAGGCTTTTGGAGAAGGAGGCCCCCTGCCTCTGCAGGACAGCACCATAGGAAGCTGCTATTCTTACTTCAGTGCTCCAGCCTGGGACTGTGAGGGATCCATGTCAGACCTAGAAGAACAGGGCACCTGGGTGTGGGTACAGAATGCAGCTCTGTACCATCACAGGTAACAAAAAAAACTAACACAGCTGCTGGATTTATGAAATCCAAAATTCTCTGCTTCAGAATGTGTTTACTGCAGGAAACCAAAGACTCTGAGACTATGTTTGCTACAGGAAACCAAAGACCCAACCTGACTGGCTTCCATGGTAAGGAAAGTTATCTTTTGCAGAGCAGGAAATCTGGGGCAGTCAGCTATAACCCCACAGGCTTGCACTGTCTCTGAGGCCAGAGCTGGTGAGACCAGAGTTGGGTGTGTCACTAGGAGGCAGCTGCTGCATACACTGTGAGCCAGGTGCTCAGTCACATGGAGAGGGAAACTGAGGCACCCAGAACAGATTTATATATTGAGGAAGCAGAGAGAATTAACATACCACTAATGTGCCAAGACGCAGAGAGAGAGAGAGAGAGAGAGAGAGAAGAGAAGAGAGAAGGAAGGAGGCCAGGAGAGCCCCCAAGAGGAGCTCTAGTTAGGAAAACGTAGAAATGCTAATAACAACTTCTTTATTTCTGAATTTAAGTTGAGCTCAGTGGGTACTTTGGAAAGGCTTTGACAAGCTGCTCTTTCTTTCAGCCAATAAAGATTTTCATGTGGCCACATAATGACTTGTTACAGCGCATTTTTCCATCTGCTGTTTAAATACAATTAGTCTCATACTGTAACCCCATCATTAATGAAACATAAATATTGTCTTTGCTCCAATCAGCTCTTCTCCCTTTACTCAAACTTTAAAATTTTATTTTCTGGAACCAAATTAATGCCTTCGCACAAGCTTCTGCACCTACACTTATTAATGATCGAAATGAATTCTTCTGAGAATTTAACTACAATTTGATGAATATACTGTGATGTTAAACCATCTTCAGTGGGAAAATCTAGTCCTGGCCACCACATGCAGTTTGTTTTATAGGATGTGTGGTGTAGAGAAGACACTGCCTCCTGCTTCATGGGCATCAGGTAAGGCCTGGTTGTGTATCCTGAAACAGTTTGCCTGCATCACTTCGAAGGCCTCATTCTGGACCTCCACAATCTTCTATGTTATCTTTTCTGATTCTTTCTGAGATCCATTGGTAGAACCTGGATCTAACTGAATTTTATCCTGAGTGCCAGGGACACCTGGCTATGGCCACTCAGAGCTGTTATCAGGCCCTAGCAGGATGGCAATAGAGAGAGGAATCCTCAGCCTCAGAGGATCCTTCCAGACATTGCCTCAGCTTCCTTCTTCATGAGCACCTGGCTCATAGTGTATGCAGCAGTTACCTCCTGATGACACGCCCAACTCTGGTCTCACCAGCTCAGGTTGCAGAGACAATGTGAGCCTGTTGAGGGTACCTGCCCCAGTCATGCTGTTTTGTAAAAGATAGGTTTTCTTATCATGGAAGCCAGTCGGGTTGGGTCTTTATATTTCCTGCAGCAAATATAGCCTGATAGCAGGTGAAGCCCAGAGTCCTGCATTTCGTAAGTCCAGCAGCTGTGTGGCCACTGTCTGTGATGGTCACTCCTGGCATCCCCCAACACGAAAATCAGCATAGGAGATGCATCAGCTCTTCCCATTATTTATAAAGATGAAATCCTCTTTAATCAGCATCTTTCAAACTGCATCCCATAGTTCTGCTTGCATCCTAACACTCACACCTCTCAGGAGAGATCCTACCTGGACGACCTCTTCCCTTCTGCCCTGGGAGGCCCAGTGTATACAGAGAGAACTTCAGCTCGTGTGAGATGGGGTTTGGGGGAACCTACTTCTACCCCTTCTAAGCAGTGACACCTCTGAAAGCCTCAGAACTTCCTCATCTGTCAAAGGAGGCTGTCAGATCAGTACTGGTCTTATGTGGGCAATTGTGACATTAAATCAGCACACAGGAAGATGTAGCCAGAGTGCTGCTTCTTTTTCCACAAACACCATGGTGTCCAATATGCTAGGATGCTTATTGGCTTCTTTCCACATCTCACACTAGAGGTGTGCTTAGAGGGAATCTGAGGCCCAGGGAGAATAAGGCCACTTCCCAAGGTCAGTAACTAAAGCATCAAAAAGATTCAGATCAAAGTACCTCACAGCAGCATTCCAAATAACAAAAGCACCTCTCAGTAAAGAGAACATTTGCATAGCATTTCATTCCTGGGTGGGTTTATGTGAACTCAACAAAACCAACCAAGCAGAAACAACAAGCATAGTAGGTCTCTTTACATTGCTGTGGGTCACCTATGCCACTGTGCACTCATGAAAGGGTGGGCATTCTTTTTTTTTCTTTTTTTTCCTTTTTTCTTATTAGATATACATGACAGTAGAGTGTATTTTGACATATTATACATACATGGAATCTAACTTGTTCAAATTATAAGTTGTACATTATATGGAGTCACTCTGGTTGTGTATTCATATATGAACATAGGAAACTTGTGTGTCTAATTCATTCTACTGTCTTTCCTATTCCCACCCTCACCTTCACTCCTTTTTGTCTAATCAGTGTACTTCTATTCTTCCCTCCCCTTCTTATTGTGTGTTAGCATAAGTAGAACATTCAGCCTTTCATTTTGGGTGGGATTGGCTTATTTCACTTAGCATGATAGTCTCCAATTCCATCTATTTATCATCAAATATGATAATTTCGTTCTTCATAGCTACATAATATTCCACACAGACACATACACACACACCACATTTTCATTATTCATTCATCTGTTGAAGGGCACATTGGTTGGTTTCATAGCTTAGCTATTGCGAATTGAGCTTCTGTAAGTTCTAATGTGGATGCATCCCTGGAATATGCTGATTTTAAGTTCTTTATGTATATACTAAGGTGTGGGATAGCTGGGTCAAATGGTGGTTCCATTCCAAGTTTTCTGAAGAATCTCCATACTGCTTTACAGAGAGTAGTTGCACCAATTTGCAGCCCTGTAAACAATGTATGAGTGGAACTTTTTCCCATATCCTCACCAACACTTATTATTACTTGTATTCTTAATAATTGTCGTTCCGACTAGAGTGAGGTGGAATTTCAGTGTCGTTTTGCTTTGCATTTCACTAATTTCTAGAGGTGGTGAACATTTTATTTTTTTCACATATTTGTTGACCATTTGTACTTCTTCTCTTCTGAGAAGTGTTTGTTCAGTTCCTTCACCCACTTATTGATTGGGTTATTTGGTTTCCTGTGTTCTCTGTTTATCTTGGAGATTAATGCTGTAACTGAGGTTAAGGTGACAAAGGTAAGGATGGACCTTCTGATCGTCTGGTCCTGGATCCCACACTTCTCTGTGAAGTTCTGTACCAGGCAGGCCCTGAGACAGAGGTGAGTGTGTCGTGCATTATGTCTTCAAGGACAGTCCGGGGCAGGCAGAGGAGAGAGACACGAACAAATAGAACATTACATAGCCGATTAGCAACTCAACATCAGAAATATGTACAGGACCCTAGAATCCTGGACCCTGTAAGCAGCCTAATAATGTCTCCAGGCTTCTGGTGGCTGCCATGGCATGGTCCTTGCTTAACAGCATAGGTTTTAATTAGTAAGGTAACTGCTCCTTCCTGAAGGGTAGCTCTGCTGGCCCCTCCCCCAGTCCTTAACTTGAGCTGCTCTCCATGGTGTCTGGATACTGTCTTTCCTTTTTTTTTTTTTTTTTTTTTAAGCTAAGTTGGCTAAGAGCCCTTTCTAACCCGTGTTTCATACCTTGCAATTTCTGGAGTTCAGTTACCTATTGTTTCGAAGAGAAAAAAGTAAAACCGAAAACCATGGAAGTCCAGTACTTTAGGGAAACTCTGCATCTCTTGAGACTTCCTTATAAATTCACGTTTCCTGTTCCATTTTGGAGGATCCAAAAAAGCCTACAGAAAAGAAAATGCATTTGACTTTAATTAACATAAAACCCTCAAGGTGTTTTTGATTTGGTTTTGTTTAGTTTTAATCACAGACCCATTTTACACAAAGCACCTATAAACTTCCCACTGAACCCACTTTGGGCAAGGGTGCTAAGTTGTCCTGGATCATATTTAAACCGGTCAAGGCTGTAACTGCCTGTTTCACATTTCTCTAGCAGTGTTGCTAAATCCTCACAACCCTCTGGGGAGTGCAGCCCCTGCAGCCTAAGAATAATCCTTACGGCTCCGACGTGACAGTACCTTCATGTTTCTATGTTTGCCTCCAAACAAGTGATGCAATTGAAGCAGGAGTCATGACCTGGAGCAGGCCATGTGTTTGGCTAAATATGAGACAGGAAATCGTCCCAAGAATCTCATGTGAAATCCCAAACACTAGTGTTTCTCTGGACTATAAATATCTCTTTAACTATAAATTCTCTCAATTCAGGGATTCTAAAACTGATCCCTTATTCTAGCATCGAACACCTCTTACCTTTCAGGAGCGCTGGAAACCTAAGCATTTCAATGATCTATGTCTTTTGCAGGAAAACTTGCCATACTTTTGCCCCAAATCTACATCTTTGCCTTACTGGTGTGCGAACCCAGTATGGTGAGAGTCCTGCTGCAGAATTAAAGCCCAGGTTGAATGGAGTTAGGACTTATCTGTGCTCATTGGTGTTCTCCAAACAGGCCCACTTGTTCTGCAAGGAATAAAAAGTGATTTTCATTGGCAGAGTGAGCTGCTCATTCTTACCACTGCTTTGACTTAGTTTCATTAGAAAATGGGAAGTCATTGGCAGTCAGCTTTTCCCCCTGATTATCCTGTACGATGGCTTGTCATGGTGCATGTGATCAAACACCCTGCCATTTTGTGTTTGTGCTTGTGTTGGAATACGCAGTTTACCAAATGGAGGAGGCTGGTTATATCCACAGTACATGACCATCAATGCTTTAGTAAAACAAGTTGAGCATATCTAATCCAAAATCCAAAATGCTTCAAATTCAGAAGTTTTTTGAGCACCAGCATGATATTCCAAATGGAAAATTGCATACCATGAAACCTTGTTTCATGCACAAAATTGTTAGAAATATTGTGACCTTCATGCTAACTGGATAGGGTATATATGAAATGAAAGTAAGTTTCATGTTTAGACTTGGGTCTCAGATAACTTCATTATGTACCTGCATATGTTCCCAAATCTGAAAAAAAAAAATTCAAAATCAGAAAGACTTCTGGTCCATAGCATTTTGGGTAAGAAATACTTGACCTGTATCTGTGAACAGTCAGGAGAGAATTCTGCTCTTTCTTGCAGTCTGCGCTACAAGTCACACGTCAGTTCCTCTTGGTGTAGGATTAAGTGTCTTACAAAATTCTGAAGTTGACGAGTCTTCTCCTCAACTCGATGCTTGGGTCTTGGTCGAGGGCATTCCATGTTGTGGGGAAGTCTTTACTATCCTTCTTGGGTGTAAGACCAAAGCCTTTTCCCTGCCGCAGCAGATACTAATCAGAGCATAAAACACAATTCCCCAGGCTGGAAGTCGCCTTTCTCCTGGTCTCCACGGCCCCACCCAGCCCGTCTTCCCTGTGCAGTGCCTGGAAGGACCCTGCATGCCTCTTACACCCCACACGGCAACCACTTTAGCTGTCCCTCCTTATCTCCTCTATTCTTCCTCTCTTAGGTTCTCACCTCAGTCGCTTAGTTAGCATGATGGAAAAGTAATTGGAGTCATAAAAATGTAAAAATGACTCAAAGACTCCCTGGAGGACACCAAGCGAGGGTGTTTTGAGTGCCTTTGGAAGAGGGAATGTGGTAAACATCCTCCTGCTGCTGGTGCCAAGTCTCAACATTTCTAGGAAAGAGAACACAGATGTTGACCCCGTTTGGGAAGGTTTACAAGTGCATGAAACATTCTCTGCTGGTAATTTTATGTGTGTGTGTGAGGTTGAGAAGGAGGGGGGTCTCCCTGAGAGAACCAGTGCTAATGAGTAGGATGGTTTTTCTTTTACCTTATCCCAAAGTAATTTCCTCCTTAAAACTGCACAATAGGATATTCTCCCGAATCAAAGCAGCTCTTCCTATCCCTTAAATAGAATGCTGGTATCTTCTGATTCATTTATATGAGGAGAACCCTGAAATGAGATAAATGGAAATACCAAGTTATGCAGCACATTCCACAGCTTTTGCTCACGGGAAGCATTTCTGTTCACACAGCACCTAGACTCTCCACAGAGCCCTGGAAGGAGACCAGAATGGTGGCAGGAATATTACAAATACTCGAGGCAGTGGGAAGCACGTTCTTTTTCATTTGAACTTGAAATATCAGTGTGATCACCATTTAGCCCTGACCATTAAGCTACAAAAACAGTATTTTAAATATAACATGTTAGTTTCCCATTGCTGTGACAAAATACTTGAGGCAATTAACTTATAAAAAGAAAAGGTTTATTTTTACTCAGGGTTTTGGAGGTCCCAAACATAAAGTGGCCCCATTTCTTTGGATTGCTGGTAAGGGTGACACATCATAGCAGAAGAAGTGGCAAACCAAACTATTCACCTCATGAGCCAGGAAGCAGAATAGAGAAAGAGGAAGAGGCCAGAGTTCCACAGTCCTCTCTTCAAGAGCATACCCCCCAATGACTTAAGAAACTCCCAAAAGTTCCACCATCTCCCAGTTTTACCACCTGGGTTGCCAAGCCTTTGACACACCTTTGGAGGATACTCATTCAATGCATAGCAGTAAAAGACAAAAGTTAGCTGTTTTTTTTCTGCCCATAGTTTGGTCCAATACCTATCCTTTTGTATTTTACCTGGCTTTAGTAAAGGCAGATATAATCTCATATACATTTTAATTCATTTTATAAACCATAAGGTTTTCTTAATATGAGCTTCATACACACATACACACACACACACACTTCATAGCTGATACTCTTGGTTTCTAAATACCATTTACCAGTAAATGGAGCCATGGTTGCCTCCAGGTGCTTAGATAATGAAGAGGACATGTCACAACAATCTGGAGCCAAATTTAAGGTCCAGATAAAATACCTTCTATGAGGGGAGTCAGGTTGGCAGGCACCCTCAGCCAGGTGGTCCACCAGCCACCTCCAGGAAGCCAGCAGCTCAATGTGGCATGCCTTTGGAGTGACACACTGTTGGGGATACAGCATCCCATTTGCAGTGATCCTTCCCCAAACCAGAGCTACAGCAAATCCTAGGGGACATTACCCAAACCAGAATTTAGTTAGACACAGTCTACAAAGTGGCATAACTGTTCATAGTTGTCCAGGTCATAAAAGCTCCCCAGGAAACAAAAACTAACCATAAAAACTAAAACTGATTTCTGATGAACTAAAGAGTCATGACAGCCAAGTGCAGCTTGTGTCCTGGACTGGATCCTGAACCAAGAAAAACATTTTCTCCCCCTTTCTGTAAAGGACAGTAGTCAGACACACAGCTGAATGTGAATGAGGTCTGTAACTTAGCTCACGGTGTAGATCAGTGTCAGTTCCCACATTTTGTTCACAGTGCTGTGGTTATGTAAGAGAGCATCCTTGTTTTTTAGGAAAACCACACCAAGCCATCCAGCAGACAAAAGGCCAGATGTGTTCAGCCCACTCTTGTAGACAGGAAAGAAAATGAGAATACCATAAACCAAACTTACTATCTGGGGAATCGGGATGAAGATATGCAGAAAGGTTTTGTACTATATACAAATTATATGCAAGTCTGAAATCATTTCAAAATAAAATGCTAAGTGAAGAAAAAAAAACTGTTTGAAACCAAAAATGTATACCTCTGTAAGCACAGATGTTTCAGTGTGCTATTCTCCAGGAGAAAAAAATATGGCAGGAGGCAAAGTCACCAGAAAATGCCTCCACAATTCTCCATATTTAGCAAGACTATCTTTTTTTTTTCCAGAAACTTTTTTGTAGTTTTAGATGGGCTGAATACCTTTATTTGTTTATTTTATGTGTTGCTAAGACCAAATCCAGTGCTTCACACGTGTTGGGCAAGCACTCTACCACTGAGCTACAACCCCAACCCAAGACTGCATCTTCTAATACACACATCAGGTCAGACTCTGTGGGCATGCCCTGGCTTAGTCCTCTGTGAGGGTCAGCAGCAGCCACCTAAAGGCAGAAGGACATTTGTGGCCATCTGTGGACGTGTTGCTGGGTTTCATTGACTTCTGGGGCCAAGGCATCTTTGGGAGCTGGTGCTGTTGGACAAAGTAGACATGCCCAGAGTTCCTCTAGGGTCACACAGCTCTTCCAGGCACTCCACTCTTGTCAGAAGAGAAGTCTAGCACATGCTGCTTCTAGTTCTTCTTTAATTTTAAAACATATGGAGAAGCCATCATGTGTTCATGTAAAACACTGCTAAGTAGATTAGTCTTTTCCATGCTCTTGCTTTGGTGCATATTGACATCATCCAAGGAGAAGAATTCTTGAGACTTTTAGCTTTTGAGCCCTCATGTACGATGAAAGGCTCCTGAGAAGATAAAAGGTAAAGAAATGCATACCTCATCACCTCAAAGGCAGTGCCAGCTTCCTCACACTTTGGGCCTGATTTAGATGATCATCTGTACCTCTTCCATCTCAAGAGCCTGCATGAGGAAGATCTTGTTTAAATTTGTACTGCTGTGAGCCTGAAGTTTAGATGCCCTCTTTTGATCTGCTGAATGTGAGTAGATCTTTCATTCATCCACAGGGGCTGATAATGGACTCTGCAAACAGTGGTAAAGTGAGTGGAACTAAAACTTAAGCCTTTTCAGGATGTGTTGCTGCAGCAGCTCAGGGCAAGCCAGTGGCTTGCATGGTCTCTTTTTGTTGGTTGGGGGGGGGAGGCAGAATGTGATAAGATTGACAGAGCTGGGAGGGCTTAAAGCACATGGGCAATTGTATAGAGTTGTATAAGCTGTATATGTGTGCACATGTATGCCTTTTTCTGTGAGATGAAAACATCAAGTCTGAATCTCTTCCAGAGCCCTTCTGCTCCCTTGGCCATCCCAGATGCCCTGGGGTGGGCTGCTGCTACCAATGGTTTTGAAGTGCAGTGCATTCAGAGGCTATAAGAAGTTAGTTGTGTTCGTTTCACCCTTGTACACACTGCTCCTACTTGCCAGGTCAGTGATGAGCTGAGATGGCAGTGGTACAACACCGGCTCCGTCCTGCGGCTCTGGCTGCTTCTTTCCTGGACGGCTATATAATCTCCCTTGGAGCACATACTGGGGTCCATGACCTGGAGTTGATGATGCTGGGGGTTGGTGGAAAAGGCAGTGCCTACTGCTGCCTTTGCTCGAGAGGACAGCCCGTGACCCCTACCAACCCTGTGCCCACAGAGGAGGTAGCCAACTCTCAAGAGCTGCTGGAATAGGTTTGAAGCAAGCCCTGGTTATTTTGTGCTCAGCTTGCTTACCTCTTTTGTAATCAGTTATACAAGAAGCCAAAGAAACAATTTTATGCCATTTTAAGACTTCGATATGTATCAAGACCATAACTGCGGAACGCCTTTAGGAATGGGAGATTTTTGAAAACTAAGAATTGTATTATTAAAAAAAAAAAAAGGAATTGGAAGAAGGAAGACCAAGCCCTTCAAGAATTCAGGGTAGAATCCCAGTGCTGGTGATTCTTAGTCACAAACTCTATAGGGGGAATATGCCAAATTATGAAGTAAGGAAAGTAGAGGAGATGGCTAAGGAATAACATTTTGATGGGAAAATCTGCAGTCTAAACAAGGTCTCTTTGGTGTCATTGCTGGGAAGTCTTATGCTATGATGAGTTTCAGTTATTTTCTAGGGCAGTTTTGATTGCTATTAAGCAGTAGAAGTCTCAGAATCTGTCTCCTTCCTCTATAAAAACCGTTCAGTCTTTGGACACACATTTGTTGAATGTTATTCATCCTTTGCATGTCAAGTGATGCTGCGTGGCCACCTGTCCCAAAGGTGGTTTTTGTTTTTTGTTTTTTTAGCAGACAGGTATGTGTCCCACTCTCCCTGAAGATCCTTTATCTCTTATCCTGAATCCATCTTACGTAGTATAAAAAGATTAAGTGGCTTTTGTAGAAAACAAAGCTTTTGCCGTAGGTGGACGATTTTTATTTCATAGACTATAAGAGCCATCCATGCTCCCTGATGTGAACATGGAAACTGCTGCCCAAGTAGCCAGGTCTCAGCTACTTAAGGGATGTCCACAAAACTATCAATTCATACGTTTTTGCTTTCTCTTTATTGTAGATGGAGTTTTTGTTTTAATTTCGTTTTTTGTTGTCTCAGCCACTGAATCAACCAGAAACCTACTGGTGTGCTGTGATTTTTCACAGTCTAGCTTTTTTCAAAATCCAAAATTCTACTGAAAACTTCCAGAATAGATCAGGGCACTTCTGAGTGGGGACAACACTTTAGGTGTCTGGGATGAAGCAGTCAGAGGGACAGCCCATGTGGGCCCAGAGAGGCTGGTCATCCAGACCATGAGGGTTGTCAGCGGGGTCCAGTCCTGAAGAGAGGTTGCATTTGATGGGAGCATAGAAGAGGCCATTTGGATTGGATCTTTGGTGGTGCTTCCTTCAGAAGAGTTGTTGGGCTATCACACAGCTATAGTTATGAGAACCACACAGTGCTGGTTTAAGAATGGAGAAATGAGTTCCATGTGCTGGAGTAGTGGAGATTGTACCAACAATCAATAAGATAAAGATAAATCTCTTTTCCTTTGTTAGACAATTATGAGCATGGCATCATTATTGAATTCATTTGTACTATGACACTTTACAACTATTTGGAGGAAGAGTCATTTATTTCTTAGCCATATTATGGGTTATGTCCCCCCAAATTCATATCGTGGAGTCTTACCTCCAATATGTCTGAATGTGGCAGATGTATTAGGATGAGGTACTATTAGAGTAGGGTAGCCCCTCGTACCGTATGGCTGGTAGCCTTACAAAAAAGGGAAAATTTGGACTGAAGATACCTATACAGGGAGACTGCTGTGTGAACATTAGAGATTGGAGTGGTGCTTTTATAAGCCATCAAATGACAGTGACTTTCAGCAGCCCAGCAGAAGTTAGAAGAGAGGTACAGAATGGATGCTTCCGAGGTCCCCAGAAGGAACCAACCCTGCCATCATTGTGATCTTAGACTTCCATTTCTGGGAGGAAAGAAATGCCTCTGAGCAACCCCCTCCCCCCCCCCGTTTGTGGCACTTTGTTACAACAGCCCTAGCAAATGAATACACATATACTAAAATGAATTTTAGATTGATTGATGGATGGATCTGTTAATTAAAAAAAAAAAAACCTTAAGTAGAAAAAAATATCTAATTAGTCCTCAGACTAGGGAACTAGGGAATAACCCTGGGACTAGTGAGTAACACCTTACCTATTAAAGCAATGATGGAATCAGAGAGTAGAAGAGCGATGGATTTGACCGTAAAGGAAATGAATGTTGTAAATTAAATGTTAAGCTGTTGCGAACACAGGAGACAATATTTGCGCTACTTGTTTTCAATATCCCGAGTAAAGAACTCTTACAAAACAATAAGATTTTAAATCTCTTTTCTTTGTTCCTTATCTCTTTTCCTCCAAAGACTTTTTCCGGTTTCCGTTCTTTTAATTCCTCCCAAGAAAAAGACGGCTTTTCATACCTCTTCTTCCAACTGCCCTGCTACCCTTGCTTCAGATTTAATGGACAGGAACTGCTGTCTAAAAGAGCTGCCTATTCTGTCCACCACCTGTCTATCCCACCTGCCTCTGCACCCACCGCCTGTGTTCCCATCCATGTAGGGACATGTCCCTGCATCTTCCTGGGGCCAGCCCCTCCACTCTCAGCCTCTGCCTTGCCCTTTCAAGGACGCTGCCTGCAGTTGTCCCTCTCCTTCCTTCATCAGCAGTCTTGTCCTCATTCCTGGGTCATTCCTGTCAGTGTCCAGACATGCCTTAATATGTCTCATCCGAGGGAGGCCCTCCCTTCACCACCCCCCTCTCCAGCTGCTGCTCCAGCTCTCTGTCACTTTTCTGGCAGAATTCTGGACCGGCTGTTTGACTCACTGTCTCCACTTCTCATCTCCTGGTCTTGACTTAGCCTACCCCAGTGGATTATTTTAGTTCCACTAGTTTGCCTGAAATGGACCTTCTCAAGAAGACTAGTCACCTACCTCTGTCAAAGCCAGTGGTCCATTTTCGGGGGTATCTTCAGAGACACCTTGTCAGCTTCTGATACAGCCTTGATTCTTACACATTACCTTCTCCAAGATCCCATGACCCCTGTTTCTACATCTCTTCATTTGCTGTCTTTGGTCTCCTCTACTCTTCAGTAAACTGCTTACCCTAAGTAAGGCCATTATATGTTATCTCCATTCCCTGGATTGGGCTCTGTTCTCAATGACCAGGACTTATCCACTATTGGAAGATGCTTTACTTAGGTTTCTAGTTAATATTTGAAATTTAGCATAAATGAAATACGGCTGAAATACACTCTGCTGAAGCCTCACAACCTAACACAATGGCTTGGCTGTCCACTCAGTTTCTCTGGCCAGTAATGCAGGATTTCATCCTTGATTTCTCTTTTTGTCTCATGCCCAGATCCAGCAGACTGTCCATCTGTAGAATGTCCCATGTCCAGCCACTTTTGGCCATCTCCACTTAAATTTCTAGTCTGCGTCTGGGGCATTACAACAGTTCTTCAGCCATCTTCTCACACTACCCACTGCCCACAGACTTTGTGCCATTTTGGGAGAACCAAATAAATCCCACGTTTCTCTCACTGTACCTCAAATTAAATCCAGACTCAGTCAAGGGTCTCTGTTGCTTCTACCCTCAGGCAGCTCCTTCTTGAAACCTTTCCTCGATTGCCATTTTGTCATCTATCATCACTCCCTCTGGGGTCCTTCCCAGGCCACTTTGGGGCAGGCAGTGGCCGCAGCCCTCCTCTGACATGATATTCTGCTGTGAAGTCCATACATCTCCTGAGATGAACTTGTTTGTTGGTACCTTTGTCCTCTAACATTTACCATGAGAATATGAGGACAGGATCAAGGTCTCCTGTCCTATCCCTACATCCTCCAATGGAGTCCAGCACACCCCAGACATGCAAGCACAAAAGCAGTGGGGCTTGTTTCATGGAAGTGCCATGTGTTGCCCCAGTGGGATGGTTGCCCTCGCTTTGGCAGAGGAAGGATTAAATCCCAGTTCTTAAATACAGTGTTTTAAATCCAAATCTGCTGCCACGAAATAGCGAAAAGAGGAAACTTTTTTTTTTCCTTACCAAAATTCCCCAATCTTGTCAACAGACAGTTCCATCAAAAGATAGATCAAACCATGCTAAGGTGACCCACGGCCTGGGAATCAAGCCCGAGTATTTTCTTTGTCTTCTACAGGTAGAATCGCAGAGGTAGGGATTGTGTCCCTTGGAAGCTTCAAAATAAATAGGACCAGGTAGCACTTACACCATGAAAATATTATGAGTGTCTTGATGGCCTCTGGAAGTAGTAGGTTGAGGCTTACAGTGTATTACACTAAAGAGTGTAACTCAATACCCAGAATAATGGAGCAGCAGGAGGGATGGGGTGTGTTTTTAAGTATGTTTCAGTGATCCTGCCTTTGTAATCCTCACGCCACCAAATTCCCTTTGTTGCCATCATGGTGACATCATAGTGATTTAAGCCAGAGGGTCCATCCAGTCCCCATCTTGCCGAACTTCTCAGCAGCATCTGGCCTTTTACTCTTGCTTCTCCCTCTGCTTAGAAACACCATCTGCTCTTCTTTCCTAAAACTTGGTCTTGGCTTCTGCCTCTCTTCCATGACTGTCCCATCTCAGCCTTCTTTGTTCCATCTTCCACTTTCCCATTGGGAGGAGTGGCCAACAGGGCTTAGGGCTGAATCCCTCCTTCTCCATGTTGATTCCCTGGGTGACCCCACCCACTTTTGGCTGTCCATTCTGAAAACCAGTTTACATTCTCATCCAGACATGTTTCCAGCTTCCACTTGGGATCTCATCCATGTGCATGTCTAAAAGACACTTCAAACTCAACATGGGATTCTGCCCCCAATACCTGATTCTTCCAAGATGCCCCATCTCAGTGAAATGGCAGCCGAGTCCTTCAGCCACCCAGGTCAGAACCTCTGATCTCCTTTTCGTCTTTGTTGTGGTATTCCATACCACATCAGTCAGTGTTCCAGAACCGAACAATCTTTCTACCTCTGCTACAGAACCTAGGTCCAAGCTTTGCCTTCTTGCATAGACCTTTGTGGAAATTTCCACATCAGATGGTCTCAGCTTCAGCTGTTGCCCAGGGTGTGTCCCCACACAGCACTCAAGTGATGATTTGAAAGCCAGCTGTCAGAGCATGGCATCTTTTGCATAAGGACTTTGCATTTCATGGTGGGAGCCCAAGTTTTCTCAGATACCAGTGAGGACCTCCTTTCCCTGGTACCTTCTGCTGAACTTTTGTCTTTCACCTTCCAGTATCTGACACTGTCTGGATTTTGCTTCTCTGATTGTTCTCTGATTTTTTTTTCTCTTCCTCATGAAGGTAGATCTGGAATAGCTCAAAAAGTTTCCCCCAATCTAACTCCAATCTAAAAATATAGTTTTTAATTGTATATTACATTCTAGGTTTAATATTTCACAGTATATTTGGTTACTACTTTTGAAAAAAAACCCTCTTAAAAAATGTTACTTATGGAAATCCCACTTGTAATTGTGTAGTGCTGATTATTTTGATCTGCTTTTCAAGTTGCAAGATGTTATGATTGGATGCTGTATCTTTATAGAAAAGGTTTCAGTGTAGAAGATGATAGATCTTAAGATTTGTTTTTTGGTGCTGGAGATTGAATCCAGGGGTGCTTTACCACTAAGCTACATCCCCAGTTCTTTTTATTGTAAGATAGGATCTTGCTAAGTTGCCAAGGATCATACTAAGATGCAGAGACTAACCTTGAACTTGTAATCCTCCTGCCTCAGCCTCCCGGTTACAGGAGGCAAATGCCAGCAAAAGCCTAGCTTTTAAGAGTTTTCCTTGTTTGTATTGTTGTGTTAAGATGATTGTCAGTAAAGACAATTTCACTATAATTGTGCTATTCATACAAAATGAGCTCTCTTCTGTTAATAGGCATATTTCATCCTCTGCATAACCTGTTCTGCACCTTTCCAGTCTGTGGCATTTTTAAGCTCATTTAGAGACACCTGCATTAGCTGACTTTGTGGTCAGGCTCAGTGAAGGAACCATAAATTTGCTGTGCAGCAGCATTCCTCTCTCATTTCCCTCGTTTGGCCAGGTGGGAATGGCACTCACAGCAGCCACGGTTGAAATCTGTACATGAGACCTAGAATTAGTCTTTGGTTCTTTATACTAATTGTTTTAAAAAGGGTCACCCCTACTAGGAAGGGGGAAAAAAAAACCTCTGATAAAAGCCATGCACTAGAGTCTAGCTTTCCCTATACGTGTTCACATTGGAATGTCTGCTCATCCATCCCCACCTATCGCCATCCAAGGAAGCCAGTTCATCCACTTGGAGCATGACAGTTGTCAAACATAACACTACAAACAGGATTAGGAGTCAGGAATAAATTATGATTCATTAGCAAATGTTCTGTGTCCAACCAGGAAACCAGGAAGAAAAGAGAAACTGGTTTTTCTAAATTATAAAAGCAACAAATGTTCCCAGTAATAACAAAAAGTGAAATTTACACTGAAAGAAGGTATATAATAAAAAATGAGATCACTTTCTCCTCACTTCCCAACTGTAGTCTCATTCCCCACAGATGAGCAGTGTAGACGGTATCCTGTTTGTCTTTGTACAGAATTTATGTGCTTTTTTCACAGTTTACCCCCCAAATCTCAGGAGCATCCCACTGAATGGAGGTGGCAAGATTTATTTAACCAAATCACCTGTCAATGAGCAGCTCCATTGTTTCTAGTTCCTTCTTTTATTAACAGAATGAAGTGAACATTCTCGTTCCTAGGTCTTTGTTCATTTAATGGATGGGTGGATGGATGATTGATAGATGGAGAGATAATTTCTAGTAGTGTCATTGTTAGATTAAAAGATTTATGTGTTATTTTATAGGTGTAAAATACATTTTATAAATCATGTCAAAAGTGCTGTCTATCCCTTGTCATAAAATGGAAAGGCATGTGATCTGGCCAGGGCTCTGCCATTTGTTGCAGTGTGGCTGTGGGCAAGTTCTTCTCGCCACCAGACTTGGCAGCCCCGGAGCTCGAATGACAGTGGTTCAGGTCATGGTGAAGGCGGTGTCCCAGGGAATCCGTCGTGTTGATTGGCTGTTTCTGTAGTTCAAGAAACTCTAGAAGATGTTTACTGAGCCTGTCAGAGAGCAGAGGAACAAATCCAAAGAGGTTTGACAAGTGACATTTGCTTTCATATAAACCCTGGAAACCTCTTGGAGCCTGAGGACAGCAGGCAATTGGAGGATGGTGGTAAGATGTGCGCTGTTGGTTTCTGATATTTATTCCTTTTGGCGTTAGACCTTCCCAGCTCATGTTATGTAGAACCTTTTCATAATCTTGGTTTTCGAAGAGTCACTGCCCACATTGCTGTGTTTTGGCTTATGTTTCTTCTATGTTTGTCCAGCGGACATATCCGCGTACGAAACTGGAAGTTGCCATAGGCCGTCAGCTCGGGTGATTTTTGCTTGGGCTGCCTCGTTTCTTTGTGCTGGAAAAACAGCAATCTGGGAAACCATGTGGTTTCAGTGAATGCATTCTGCTTTTTAAAAGAAATCTCGATAATTAATGTACTTAGTTCTTGCTAGTCATTGGTGTTTCTGTGATTCTGTAATCTATTTTAATGATGAATAAGTTTACTTTTCAAAAAGTTATGGGTAGTATATAGATTATATGTATAAACTATGCTCATAGCAATTGTATTTTGGGGATGAATTGGATATGACCCTAAATGGCAGCTCTCTATGAAAGTTTTATCATGTCCTTCATTTTCTTTGTTGTTCAGAACTGGAAAAGGTACAGCCCTTATTAATCTTAACCATCCTGCATGAGCTCTCTTGCCCCAATTTCTAAACTTCCAGTAAATCTGCCAGTCTTCCTTCACCAAAGTGTCTGCCCATCGCAGACCCCAGGTCTGTCTGTCTGTCATTAATGTGTCTGTTCAGCTGTGTACCCCACCCTCCCACCAATACCACCGTCACAGTGGGATCTTTGCAGACGGACAACTGAGCTCCAGTAGGCTGCGTAGAGGCTGATGTTCTTGGTAATCCAGTGCTGCCATCCAGGGCACTGCTAGCACAGCTGGTCTTAAAAAGGCTACTAAAAGTTACCTTGCTCAGAATTAATACTAGGGTCTCTCCTGCTTATGGATGGGCATAGGCAAGAATTTTTCCAAAATTGAGTAAAAAATAAAATAAAATCTTGTATTATAAATTGCCCTAGTAAAACCAGAGTATTTTCTTAAAAGTAAATTCATTATACTCAATTAATTTTAGATTGGTTGGGAGGAACTGCATTGGGTGGGGTTGCAAATTCATGTCCCCACAATGTGCCTGACCTCAGCCTTCCCATAGCCACCAAAATAGTATAGGCATTAGCCTGGAGCCCTGTGATGGCCAGCCTTGTGGGACCTGCCTGGGCTGGTACAGACACACATCTATAAGTTGGCCTGATTCCAGGAATGACCTCAGAGAGCTCCACATTTGCTCAGGGGATATTTTGTTGACCCCTGGTGAGATATTTGACTCGGACTGAGCCATGGTGCCTGTGCGTATTGTGTTATAAATATCCAGAAGAATGAAGATAACTGCTTGGTGGAGAAGAGATGGAAGCGCTCTTGGTAAAGAGACCAACCAAGCAAATACCCTCAGTGTCATCTGTAAAGTTTCATATTATGGGGATAACGGTTAGCAATGTGAAAAGACACTTGAGAAAAGCCAGGTGGGAAGAGGAGACCCACATACCATTACTTTCACACAGCATATTTTTCTAACTTCCATTTTGAATTAATTTCAACCCTCTTGAACAGTTGTGGTAATAATACAAAGAGCTCATGTATTCTTTACTCTGATTCCCCAGTTGTTAATACTTGGCACATTTCAAGCATTTTTGTGTGTGTGCGTGTGCGCGCATGTGTGTATGCACATATATAGAGATTACGTTTATGCATGTATATACATTAATACATGAATATATAGCATTCTTTTCTCTGAATCATTTCAAACTAACTTGCAGATATCAATTCCCTTTACTCCTAAATACCTCTGTGTCCATTTCCTAAAGATATGGTTGTTCACTTACAGCACAGTACAGTTATTAAAATTAGAGTGTGTAGCATTAATAAAGCACAGTGTTTGGCCTGCAAAACATACTCAGATTTTCTTGATTTTCTCTGTTATATCCTAAAGATTTTCTGCTTTTCTGACTCTTAAACCAATTACATTCATTGTAATAAACTCTTTAATTTTTTTTCTTTTTTTTCGCCATGGCGTGAAACTCAGCCCTTCCACATCTCTGGTAGCAGAGAGGTTTATTTTTTGTTTGTTTTTGGTTTGGGGTACTAGTGATTGAAACTGGGGCGGCCTGGCCTTGAACTCGAGACTGGCCTTGAACTTGCAATCCTGCTGCCTCAACCTCCCTAGTTGTGAAGATTACAGGCGTGCACCACTGCATCTGGCCAACAGTTTTTTCTTAAAGGACCCAGTATGGTTTGTGTGGCACATCCTTGGAGTTCAGTCAGGTCCTCGGAAGGGAGGATATGTCCTTCTCTGGACATCACCTCAGGATACTCATGTGATAATCTGTCCAGTTTGTACTGATATCAGTATTTAATGCTTGCTTTAGGTGTTGTCTGCTAAGTTTCTTCTTGTTAAGTTATTGCTTTTCCCTTTGTAATTAACAAATAATTCGAGGGAAAGTAATTTGAGACTGTATTAATACTCTGTTCCCACCAGACTTTCATGGACTAGTTTTGTCATGTGTTAATGATTCTTGTCTTTCTAACTCTTTCATTCTGTGTTTTTGATTTGATGTTTTATTGTAAGGAATGCCTTCTCTCCCATTTGTTTATGACATAATTATTATCACTTTAGTAAATGACTTGTACTCCATTAATATCACTTGCTTCTATGTTTGGTGCCT